TGTCCTAGTTAAAAGTTGGGGATATTGGGTAGTGGGGTATGATTTGGACTTTGTGGACAGTAGTAAGATCGTAAATGCCGAAGGAATATGTTGCTTTGGCAGGACGAAAGTGATCTTGACACCATTCCCAAATATCCTTCCTCGGGCACCACCACTTCAGGATCTTCACAACTCCAGGTTCATGTCTCCATCATGTTGGTATTTGCAATAAAAGGGTTGATACCTGTGATTTGTCCCGATGTGGACCGACCAGGGCGCAACATTTTGTCAAATTATATGAACGGATTGTCTGGCCATATTTCTGAGGATCTTGCAGGCCCGTGGTCTGGTGGTAAAGAAAAACCCGATGCGTGAATAGGATTCTGTTCCAGCTTCCCGTTGAAGGACCAGTCCAGCAACCGTTTCATTTTCATGGGCGACTCTTTTCATGGTGCCAATGATGGGTAAAAGCATGAGAGTCTCTGGCGCTTGTTCCACTCTCTCATCGAAAAGGATCTCGGATTTGGTTGTAGCATTTGGGGGTATTGGTGCAGATAAGTGAGGGCCCAAGTGGCTAGGAAAGATATGCGTTATCGTTGCAGCCATTGGGCTGGCTAACGAAGGGTGTTCATCGGCTTCCCAAAGAACAGAGGCGAGAGGCCCTGATAGTTTTATGTAGCCTGATTTTACTTCGCCAAATCTCTGGCCGTTGTGCCACACTTTTGCATCTTCTAGGGTGGCTAGATACTCCTTCGGGTCGTAGTTACGCTGACACCACATGAGCGAAACCTTGCCGTCGATAGACGCCCAGGACCATGATGGTGCAATATACTCTTGTGGGTATCTTCTCGGAAACTTAATTTCCTGCCTTCTGTTTCGAACCATCTCGGTTGTTGCCGTTGTCCAAAGAAGGTGGGAGGGTAGGGAGGATTGCCAGAGCCCTGCGAGGTAACCGTCACCAGGGGAATTGGATTCGTCAATGGAGACAGCCATTGCAAGGCCCGAAATAGCCACAAGTTTGTCGCATTGGCGAGTCAGAGACGTTAGTGAGTACATCTCAACGACTGCATCCCAGTCTTGATATACCGACGCACTTTTCATCGTTGACCTCAATGTAACTTCTTGAAGTATGATAGGACGAAACAGTGCCGTGAAAGCACCCCAGGCCCTGCCCATTAATGTTGCATTTGTATTCACATCCGTGGAAACGTACTTGGCTGGCCAGCGATCGTCTTTAGACTCCTCACTGAGGCTCAATGTCTTGATATTGATCAGTCTGTTATCCTGTAAACTCGTAGGTAGCCCCCGATAGTAAGTTTCACAGGCCGTGAACTCGCGGCATTCCCAGAAGAGCTGCTCATGACTGAAATGGAGAACGCGGGGCGCGAGAATCCGTTCTTGTAACACCCAGCTGCGCTGATTTAGAGGCTCATTGAATAGCTTCTGAGCCCATATGTGATGGTCGGGTACGACCTGGTAACGTTTGCTTTCAGTTTCTTCACATTTATCCCATTGAACAGAAAATTCCGTGGGCTTGACGGCCTGTGGATGTCTCTCCCAGAAACAGCCTTCGGTGGCTTCCGCGGCTCCGGTAACAGCGATGTTGATATAAGCGTAGCGATAGACATTACTCATCAAGGCGGCCTCTCGAGCCCAGTCCTCCCACGAATCTTGTACAATGCACAGAGAGTCTATCCACAAGTAGCGTAGTTGGAAATAACGGGCAATCCGGATTGCGTCTTTGAAAGATTTGGGGAGCTCTTGGTAGGGAATTTTCTTGCAATGTGAGTAAATGTTTGACATCCTCGTCGTGATTAGCCGAGTGCGGCCCCAGCAGTGAGAGACAGTGGCGTAAGGTTGGTTTGAGAAAAGGTCTTCGTCCTGCTCAACCAGTCGTATATATTCATTTCCAGGTGTGCCAATGTCCAATAGGCGTGTTGGGGCCCAGGGTGCTGGAATGGGGGCGTTGCACCGTTGGTGGCCCCCAGTACATTGCTTCAGCCATTGACCGACCAAGCCCCAACTCTGAGGGGAATCTGTTGTTGAGGAAGGAATGTACCCGCTTTCGATGTCTGCTGGAATATGTGAGGCTGAAGACTGCATTGATGCAAAGTGTATACTGACCCTTGGATTCATTAATGAGCTCGAATGTAAATGTTAAGCTCAGGTCCTCCACACCACCAGACGTCAATTTCAGCTCAAAGGAGGTTTGCCAGCTGGCCGAAGATGTATCGGATTCGCATTTGATTGGAAACAATTTGTCCCATAGATCAGGCACTTTCCGAAAAGCGCTGCCTTGCAAATGTTCCAGAAGGACAACGCAAACTCCACAACCGGTTTCCGCCGATTCTTCTAATGTGCTCAGCGAGTGGTGGTGTATGAGATCTGTGTGCCAATCTACATGGCGAATTTTATCGAGTATACTGTTGCATGGGTCGCATAACTTGTTAGACGCATGGGAAACCATTTTTGGCAAGCAGAAAGAAGGGAATCTTGGGCAGATGCCTAGATATGAAGAAGCTGAGGGGAGCCCATGATTTTTTGTATTATACGTCAGTTAGGCAGCAAGATACCAACAAGGTTGAGCTGGAGGGAATTTGACCATGGAGGTCGCGATGAGGTAAGCATCTTGGCATTGCGGCGACGAATAACATCTGAGGGGGCAACCCCTCTTCATAATGTCTACCAGATTTGTTCATTGCAATACATGCTGTCTTTAGATTGGGTATTGAACCCCGGACACCAGTCATCTCTAATTTTGTTCTCAGCAGAACGTGGTGCACGGATAAAGAGCTGAAGCAACAACGTACAACATAAATTCACATGTTCGGCAGCATCATGCTGTGCTGTAATTGTCTTCTGATAAGTCTGAGGACTGTAAAGTATATACAAGAAGTGAAGGATTTGAGATCAACATCAAAACGCTATCTGATTAAAAACAGCCATCAAAGAAACGAACATCATTTCTCCTCCATCATTGTAGTCCTCTAAGCGAAGTTGCTTCCAGCTGTCTTCGTGGTGCCTGCAGTAATGCTAACACCCTTGACAACAATGGATCCACCATTGACGCTCGTAACCTTGATATCAACAGTTGCCGTTCCAAAACCGCTCGAGTTCTCGAAGAAGTTGTAGGGCTGGCGAGTAGTGGCTTGGTATGTCTTTCCTCCATCGATGGACACTTCAAGCTTGGCAACGGGTACGTTGGCGTTCATGACTTGCATGGAGAACCAGTAAGGGGAGGTGCCCTCCTTGTTCTTCAGGATGATGGGAGTAGTAATGCCGCAAGGGACGATGGACCAGTCGACGGGGATCACGCCCTTGGAGGGCTCGGCGAGAGCGGCGAACGCATCGGGGAAGAGATCGAGGTGGTTAGGACCGCAGCCAGGGCACTGATCGACGACCTGTCTCTGGGTTAGAAGATATTTTGGCAGATTAATTAGAGGAATGTCTTACCATAGCCTTGACATAGTTGCCGTTGGGTCCCTTGACCGACACACAGGCACCACAGTTATCAGCACCGGCCCAGTTGGAGTCAGAAAGGGCTGTTCCGTAGATGCCAGAGGGAATAGTGTATCCGGTGAAAGAACACATGCCTCCAGCGACATTTCCACCATAATAGGTTGCTTCGCCAGAGTTCGAGCCTCCGATGGCAGCAGTCGAGCCTGTGGCCGGAGATGCGGATGCAGATGGTGCAGCTGACGAGGCAGCCTTCGAGGTTGCGGCAGCCTCGACGGCAGAGGTCTCTGGGGGATAGGTCGGGGCGGCGATGGATACCTCTGCCGGCACACTTTCGATAGGCGCACTCGAAGCTTCCGCCTCTGCCGAGGAAGAGGGCGCAACGGGTGACTCTGCCTCGTAAGGGAGAGTCGGGACAGCCGTGGGATAGGAAGATGCGTCGTATGTTGCGTTTGGTAGAGGATAGAACGGAATAGGGGATGATCCGACAGGGGCGATCGAGGTGGAATCACCTGGTAGAGTAACGTACACAGTCGGAGTGTACGTCACAGTGACGGTTCCAGCTGGACAGACCGATGTAGAGGCGTATGCCAAAGTGACAGTAGGGGTGTAGGTCACTGTCACGGTTCCAGGGCAGACCGAGGAGCCGGCAAATGCGAGGCCCAGAAGGGGCAGGGCAGCGATGAAGGACTTCATGATATCGAGTTGAGATGGGCGGGTCGACCGGGTACTGAGTGTTCAACACGGGGCTTTTCAAGTAGCGAATTTGGGGTAATGACTGTATTGAAGAAGATAACTTCTTGTAAGGAACGGAATCGAGTCAACGACTCAAGAGAGGTATATAAACGAATGGAAGCAGCCAGCGGCTTGCGAGTTCACAACTGATGAAGAAAGCGACGAAAGACTTAATTCAAGACCCACGAATCTGAAGGAAATCATCGAATATAAACAGAATAGCAGAAACGCTCATCTCCCATTAACTTTACTCCATGGAGCTAGAGTGGAAATGACAGGAGCTTGGTATCACGGTTCAAGCCTTCAGCGGCTAGAGCAAATCCTTTAACGAGGATACTCGTGGGGCGCGGGTCTGGCCACCCTCATTCTTGCGTGCGAAATTGCAATGGGAGATGATGCTTGAGATGGAGCTTGTTGGAGATCAAACACAGGCGAGATGAGTGTGGCGTCGTGGGAGGTGAGCAGATTGATCGGATTAATATTTCGCCGGAGGGGTCGAACATCGAGTTGGTGTGGCACAACAGCTCTACCTCCTCAATCATTCTCTTATCTATGCACTCCAGGGATCGTAATCATGTTGTGACTATATAGTGTACCCATCTGTTACATGCACACCTCCTTCTTGACAACCTTCGATATCATCTATAATGTAGGACTTCCCCCCGAGGCATCAGACAGTAACACAATTCTAGGCCATTCAACGAGAAGTCAACTAGTAAACGCGAATCCGGGACAATCTTACGAAGAGCTGAGGGTATACACGTATCCACAAAATCATCACCTTCGGACCCCGTTCCATGAAGGAGCGTCTTCGTCTATCAACATGCCCCGTCGGTGTAGTTTAGTGGTTAAAATCCTTAGTGGTAACTGAGTGTCCCGAGGTTCGATTCCACGGCGCCGACCTTTCATCTCATGTTGATTACGAAGACGCGAGTTCCCTGTCCAACCCCCGGATCTGTCCATTTGCCTTGCTCAACTGTGTCATCCTGCCCGTACGTGTGATCTAGTGGAAAGACCCTCTTCGAAAAATAGAGAGACGAACTTTGATTTGCGACCTCTGATAGTGCTGCTCGCTACCCCGATTTCCTTTTGTTTGCATGACGGGTCCAGTCGTCGCCTATCCGTTGAGAAACCCAGACGAAACTGCCCATGTTCCAGTGGTTGATGGGTCAGCCTAATTTGTTCGCGGACTTCAATCTGTTCATGGGGAACACGATGGGGACGAGGGAGTATTGGTGTGATTGGTATGATGTGCAAGGTCGGCTGCTTGATGGGTTTGACAAGGGGAAGGGTGATGGTGTGCTTTTGGTTGATATTGGGGGTGGGAAGGGCCACGATTTGCAGGCTTTTGATGAGAGGTTTGGAGCGGAGGGGAACGGGAAGGAGGGCGTGTTGGTTTTGCAGGAGATGAAGGAGGTTCTGCAGGGAATTGGGGAGGGAGATTTGGATGCGAAAGCGATGAAGATGGTGTATGATTTCTTCACGCCGCAGCGGGTAAAGGGTATGTCATATCTCAACTCTTGAATGCCGGTTACTACCTGCTAATGTCTTCTAGGCGCGCGAGCATACTTTCTGCACCACATCTTGCATGATTGGTCGGACAAGTACTGCCATCTCATTCTCAAGAACATCCGCGAAGCTATGACTCCTGGATACTCGAAGCTGCTCATCCACAATCTTGTCCTTCCGGATACCGGGACGTCGGAGATACAGGCGTGATTCGATTTCACGATGATGACCTTCAATGGAGGAATGGAGCGGAGCAACAAGCGGTGGAGGATTTTGCTGGAAGACGCAGGGTTCCAGGTTACTGGTGTTTGGGAGTGGATGGACAAAGATGGTATTGTCGAAGCTCAGGTTCCCTTTGCAAGTAATGTGGAGTCTGTCAAGCTGTAGATACTGCGATGTTGTGATAGAAGATTCTCGCAATAGGATCCGGCGTGATATTCTTGATAGCCCTCTCTCTGAAGTGTTCTCATTTGACGATGATGGAGAAGTTATTCCTCGTAACCCCATCGTTGACAATTCTTTTCTCTGTCTTCGCCTTATTTCCTTTCCTTGCCAGTCTGAACAAATAATAGCAAAGCTTCGTGGAACTCTTTTTGTGCAACACGGCAAATCCTAGGTTTTCCATGATCCTCAATAAGAGCTTCTCGTTCATGTACCGAGAATTCTTGACACATGGAAGAGGCAATACGAAGAACAAGGATGGTAGCTTGGTTTCTTTTTCATCGTAGTGATCGGGCTTTTGCAAGAACTGGGCCAGTCGTTTTAGCATCTCTCCACGACCGACTGGGTCTGGTACGTAGTTCAAAACAAGAGATAGCGAAAGGATATCGAAACGGTCCTCGGGAGCCGTAGGGAGTGGCCTTTCCATAAAATCCTGTTGTTCAATGCCCGGTTCTTGGCTGTTGAGGTCAATCCGCGTGACTTGCATTTGCTTTGGGTGTCTCGATATCTCGTTCTTTGTTGATAGCGCTCCAACCTCAAGAAGCCTCAGAGGGCTATTCGAACTCTCGTCAAGAGGTTTTGTTTTCAAAATCCCCTCCTCTTGTAGCCATTCAACAAGAACCTTGCTGGAGTCTCCACCTCGAACTTTGGATTGACCCAGTTTGCTCGCGGCTTGGTATGTTGGCAGACCGCCATTCTTCTCGATTGCCTCTGTTAGGGCATCCGCAGCCGTTTGATCCCCCTTCTTGATTGCAGCAGCCTTCTCTTTCTCCAATCGATGGTGGGTGCTGATGATATTTTGCGTTTGTTTCGAGTTCATCTGCTTGGCATGCTTTGCCACCGGAGGGCGCCCATGCGCGAGAGTCTTTGCACGTTTTTTGACAGCCATGATGCCTGTTTTGGGTAATGTTACATGTTTGAGTGCGAGATTCGAAAGAGGGTGAAGTTTGATGCCAAGGTTGAAGAACAGCCATACAGGCGCTAGTCTTGATTTGACGTGTTTAGCGAGTTTCGCGAATTTCGACCACAGAACCCCCAAAACCCATCGCGACACTTCCTCCAACCTCACGACCTCCCAACTCGACAACCATTAACGCCATGGCACCCAAAGGAGCCCAGAAGGGTATGTCAAACAAAATAGCACTCTCGCCTCTCCCATGCCGCCCTTGTCCTCCATGCGCATCTCCTGCGCGCCGAACTCCCTTGAAAATGCAAAAGCTAACAGTTCACAGGCAAGTCGACCAAGCCGCAGAAGCAGGCCAACGCAGCCGCCAAAGCTGCTCTCAAGGGCGTATGTCACCCCTCATGACCAACATGGCGTGTCAGAACCCCATCTCTGACGGCTTTTACTTCTCAATGGGCACACATTAACGAGAGTAAAGGTCAATTCGCATAAGGTCAAGAAAGTCCGCAAGTCGACGAGCTTTCACCGCCCCAAGACCCTGGAGCTTTCGTACGTATCGCTGTCCTTCTCCTTCTGTTCTGGCTGCGCTTCGGAGAGTGCCTCTCTACAGAAGCGTGGCCCACGAACTGGGAGATATTGGGAGATTGAGCTAACAGAATGATAGCCGCGCGCCCAAATACCCCCGCCGCTCCATCCCCCACCAGGCCCGTCTCGATGCCGGCAAGATCCTCATCCACCCGCTCAACACCGAGTCGGCCATGAAGAAGATTGAGGAGAACAACACCCTCGTCTTCATTGTCGACATCAAGGCCAACAAGCGCCAGATCGCCGCCGCCCTCAAGAAGCAGTACGACGTCAACACCATCAAGATCAACACCCTGATCCGACCGGATGGCACCAAGAAGGCGTTCGCCAGGCTGACAGCCGATGTTGATGCATTGGATATTGCCGCCACCAAGCTCCAGATCGTTTAAGCGTAAACGCACGAATGGAGTGGGAAGGGTGGATGCGAGGAAGTGGTGCATGTCAATGGACGATACCTAGGTTCTGGGACGGGAAAAGGATTACGATCTGCATGGCGTTTCATGGGCATGGTCTATGGTAGACTCGAACGAATCAAGTTTCTGACATGGCGCCCACCCAACTGATGACTTCAATGTGTGATGACAACTTGGTCCTATTGTTCCACGAAGATGACGGTAGATTTGCGAGCCGTGTAGTTCACTGAGCATGATATGGCACTCGCCATGTTACTTCGCTTTCACCACAATCGACACCCCACGGACGCGAATATTATTAATGTCATGGCTTTCATTTTCCTTTCGTGTTCATATCATACAGACCGGAGATGTTTTGCTACCCACAAGATGCTGAACTGAATTCTCAATCCATCCTCACAATGCCCCCCAATCCTATCATACACCCCAAACCCGCTCATACTCTCCTGCTTACATTATACCCCTCAGCTCCATCCCATCCACCCCCCCTCAATACTTCCCCCCCCAACACCCCTCCCATCGTCCCCACCAACCAACCCCCCTCAACCCCATCCATCCCAAAGTATCCTTCCTCAGCCCCACATCCTCCCCGCCCCCGACACCACCCCTCTACTGCCTCAACCTCTCCAACTCCCTCAAGACCAAAAAATTCGCATCCAGAAAACGATCCACGCAATTCTTAACACATGGCTCTTCGTACTTGTCCAAGGGGGCTTTCTTGATGGCGCCGCTGGGTATGCATTTGCGGAAACAGGTGTCTGTTAGTTTGTGGATGGCTGGGGGGTATGTGGGTGTTAGTTGGGGGGTGTTTTGAATGGGGGGGTTGTTTGTGGGGGTTGGGGTTGGGGGGGGATATGGGGGTGAGGGAGGAAGAGGGGAGCGGAGGAGACGGGAGAGGAGGGGAGAGGAGGAAGAGGGCGAGTATGTACACACATTCCTGGATCCTGGCCTTCTGCGCCTCGTTCATGACGAATTGTTGTAGTTCCTGTTTCTCGGTCTGGCTGAGGCGCGAGAGGTCGACGCCGCCGACGTTGTTGCTGCCCATGTCCATGTTGCTTGCTTGCCTGTTTGCTCTATTGTGCTATGTTTGTTCGGTCGGGCACTTGGTTCGCTCGGGCGGTCGATTGGCTTTGAGATGGGTTCCGTGAGGCTTTCGGGTGAGGCGTAAATTGAGATTGGGTTTGTTGTGTGGAGGGGTGGAAGCGGTGGTGGTGCGGGTTCTTTGCGAGCAATCGATGATGCGGTCAGGTCGTCTTTGGTGTTGATTCCGCCTGAAGATTTCTGGATGTCGGAGGTTGAGGGTTGGATTCGCCGATGGGGGAGGGTTAGTCAGCATGATGCACCGGAAGCTGGAATGAAGTTGGATTTGAAAGTCGATGGGTCGGGAAAACAATACGGTATGGAAGAGGAGAGTGTTGTCAAGGCACTGACGGTAATGTGGTGCTATTAAAATTATCTACGCAAAATGCATGTGCGGATCAAAGAAAGATGCCGAAGATAGACAAGTCCCGCCAAATGCTTCCGTCGATATGAGACAGACCAAACGCCAAAGATGCGAGAAAGGATATCAACAACTTGAACCTGTTCACAAAACCGGCTCACTTTGCATCCCACACCCTCCCCAGCTCCTAAAATTACACTTTTGTCTAACATATGAAACCCTGTATCGCGAACATCCCTCATCTACTTCGCAGCAGCGCCAATCATCTCCTTCGGCAAGAACGCAAACACCGTGCTCACAACTGCCATAACACTGCTGATAACAATCAGCGTCCAGTTCATCATCTTCTCTCCGCGCCCCAGCTCGTGCCCAAAGAGCTTGAGATGGAAAGCCAGCGGGAGGATGATGCAGATGGAGAAACACGCCACACTTCCCAGCAGTGTCATGATCGTGTCAAAGGATGGCAACACAATTGCGATAATTACAAAGACGGTGAGCGTAACTATACGCAGCGAGAATTTGAAGATGCCGCGATTGAATCCAGTCATGCCGTTGAGCGAACCGGAGATGGCCATGGAGCGACTGTCGAGGCCGGCCATGATTTCGAGAG